ACCATCCAACAAAACTAACATCTGACTGTGAAAGTTCTTTCAAATCAGACGATGTAAAAAACTATCTGCGTTCAAAAAATGTAAACCAATATTTCATTGTCGACCAAAACCATTCTGCTCTTGGTGTCATTGACGGTTGTATAAAAATGTTAAGAGACTTAAACCAACCACAAGGTGGTGAAGCAAATGAAATGTCATATGACGACAAATATAGACACTTCTCCATGGCAAAGATGAGACAAGTTTTAAATATTTACAATAGCCGTAAACAAAAAGGTTTGGGAAACCACTCCCCCGAAGAAATGAAAAACAACCCTGACTTAGAGAAAGACTATATATTTAATAATTTAGTCAAAAGAGACAAACAAGAAAGAATGCCGGGCTTCAAACTTCAGAAAGGTGACAAAGTAAAAATAGAAATACCTAAACGCGACCCATATGAAAATACTATTGACTATGACAACAATGGGAACCCGACAGGTACTCACATTCGTGTTCGTAAAAATAGAAGAAAGTATACAAGAGAATATTATGAAGTTTTAGGCAAACATGGCAAAATGTACACACTGCAAGCAGAAGATAAAACTACTATTGCCAGACCTCGTTTCAAACTTGTCAAAGTTCAAGGCGGTATACTTTCAAAGACAGTTCCTAACAAATATAAGACAACTCCTGACGAATATGCTAAAGAAGTTGAAAATGACGACTAAGCATTTCTATACCATGCGTAAACTGTCATGTAAGGTGGCATGTATTCTTTACTTTGTCCCGTTGTTTGCGTATATCCTGAAACGCGATGTGTATGGTTTCCTCCTCCCTCAGTGTTACTCCAGAAACAATTTATAGCAAACTTAACGTTGTCTTTAACATCATATCCTTTACCTTTTGTCATTGCTGACCAATCCCAATATCTATGCTTATGCCAACCTGCTTGAGATGTACTTAAATCTATGTAGTGACTGTGTGCAGGTAAATTTTCACCTGAAATCGTTTTACTTCCACCTGTTTCCTTTGAAGAGTTTGCACAATACAAAAACCTGTCGACTATTTGAGTCCAAGTTCCAAAACCAAGTACTACTTCTGGTCTGGTAGAGTTCATTGACGTATAAATAGAGCCTATAGGATATAATGTTTGAAGCATTTCTGTCTTTAATGTTTGAAGCTCTGTTTTGTCTGCTTTCTTGTCATATAAATCTTGAGCAGTGAATTTAATATTATGTTCATCCTTCATGACATAAACATCTTTACATCTAATGTTTCTCATCGTCGTTATGTCGTCATCCGATGTTAAACCTTGTGGAAAGTTAGGAGGTTTCCAATATAATACATCCCCATCAGGTTCTTCAACCGTTCCTTCAATACTTTCTATACCAACAGTTGTAAAACTTGTATGTGTATGGTTCTTGTCTGCTTTCTTTTCAAGGCTAACGTTTAAGTCTGTTATTTCAGAAGATGTATGTGTATGTCCAACGTCACTTTTCCTGTTTAAGGTTTCTTGTAAGTTTGTAATATTTGCAATGGTATGTGTATGTCCAACGGCACTTTTACTGTTTAAGGTTTCTTGTAAGTTTGTAATATTTGCAATGGTATGTGTATGTCCAACGGCACTTTTACTGTTTAAGGTTTCTTGTAAGTTTGTAATATTTGCAATGGTATGTATATGTCCAACGTCACTTTTCCTGTTTAAGGTTTCTTGTAAGTCTGTTATTTCAGATATAGAATGTATATGAGTCTTTTTAGAATATTCGTTTTCAGCTCTTGTCACTTCACTTGACATTTTATTGTCAACATATGTTTTGTCTGCTAGTTCAGGATGAGTATGTTCTTTTGTTGCATAAGCTTTGTCAGCTCTTTCTTCTTCTTTTGCTATTGCATCGTCTACATATTCTTTGTCAGCTTTGTTGTCAACATCTGCTTTCAAAAGAAGTTCAGATATAGGTTTCTCGTTTAAAGTTCCTTTTGTTGGATTTATACAAACAGTATGGTTCTTATTGTCTTGAAACAGAAACTCATCTGTCATTGGGTTTAATGTCAGTTTTAAGTTTCCATCCTTCAATGACTCAGATATCTTAGAATAGTTTGAAAAGTTTGTTGTGTTCTTATTTAGAGCTTGCATAATGAGTTGTCGGTTGTGTTGTATTTCTCTCATAGACGCTGTTTCATTTGACATTTTTATTCTAGATAAAATATGCTTTCAATAGAAAAAGAAAATTCAAGAGTTGCTACAACTAAACCATTAGATGAACTTTTTACGAATGTCGGTCAAAAGTTTGAGACAGAGACCGTAAAGCATGAAGGCTATCGTTTTGACTACCCGTTAAGATGGTTAAGAGACCCATCTGTCACAAAAGCTATTGGCTTTCGTAGAATAAAATTTGTGTCTGTAGAAGATAAAAGTTTTCCATTTATTGTAAGGTTTCATATAGATTATATATCTGAAGGGAAACGAAAAATGTGGGAAGAAATTGAGCTAATATAAGTTGACCTTTCATCTTCTCTACAGACTGCGTTAAAAAATATAGAAGATAAAATAAATTCATGTTATGCAAAATATGCTGATGAATATGCAAATACCGAGAGCACACTTTATGTGAGAATTGTATATGACAAACAAAATTCACAAGTGTCATTTCAAATCTACGAAGACAATCCAAAGAAAGACGAACAAATATATACAGAATTCACTGCAATGTCATGGTATTATTTGCAAAGAATGTTAAATCAGAAAGTCGAACTTCCTTTAGCAAATATCTACAGTCGATATGCAAGAGATGAACCATATTTATTTAAAGATGTTTTCGACCCAGCTGCTATTATAGTTCATGCTTCATTTTCTGGTGCACAAAACTCTTTTTTATGCTTGGCAAATGACTTTTACGAAAAACCTACAAAGCTATATGAACCACCAAGTGGAAGTATTTCAGACTTTCAAGTATGGTTTACAACAGATGGAAGAAAGAGAATAGTTCCATTATACCATGCGTTTTACTTAGAACTTAGTTTCATATACAACTACTATCGAACGGTAAAAATATAATTTTTTAATACGGTTGAGGTGTTGGATTTGGTTGCCAACTAGACTGTGGTGCAGGTTCAGGCTGTTGTATAACAGGAGCTTGTTCTTCTGGTTCAGGGTCTTTAGGTATAATACCAACAAACTGACCTACTCTTTTACCAATATTTTTGACTCCGTTCCAAATTCCTCTTCCTACGGTTTTTATTCCATTCCATATACCTCTTCCAACTCTTCTGAAGAAGTTTCCAATACTACTGAAGAAACCCATTTTACTATATGTAAAAATCTAATGTCCGCCTAGTCTCTTACGTTTCCTGTTGAGTTCCATAGCATTTTTTAACTGGAGCTCATACATTCTGTTTCTCCTCTGGTAGAAAACATATTCTGGGTCAACTCCTGTGTTCGCGTCATCTGCATAAAGTTGTTTATATCCCACTTCGGGGTTTGTATAAAACTCTTTCCATCTCATATTTGCATACCATGGTGGCAAACCTAACGCAGCGTCATTTGACATGGCAGTTTGCATTTGTACATCTGTTGGCACTTGACCATAGTTTGCCATTGCAGTTTGTATTCTAACTTCATTTGGAATATTCTCTGGGTTTGGTTGTCCAGGTTGCTGTGCATTCGCTAAGTTCTGTGCGTCCATTTAATATTAGATAAAAATATCTCTTACGAGTACATATACTGAACATTTGCAGGCATTGGTTCATCTTCATATTCTCTGTACTTTTCTGCCACGTCAAATAAATAAATGACACAATGGAAAAAACCTAAAACAAGTAGTCCTATTTCAAACCACATTTACTTACTAATAAAATTTCTTTGTTATGACACTTTCTCCGGTTTATAGGACCTCTCTCATATTCTATCTTGTCATATCTAAACTCATAGTCATGTATGTCCTCTAACCATCTCATAACGGTTTCCAAACCACTTTTATCGGATGTAAAGTAAAAGCATGGATGGTTATGTATAACGTCTAAAGTTTCTAAAGAGTCTCTCAAAGTCCAGTCTACTTGGTATTGAAAATCCCATGTGTTATAGAACGGCGGGTCCACTATAAAGAAAACATTTTCCTTGTCTTTATATTTTTCATACAACTCTGTCCAACGACATCTCACAAACTCTATACCCTCAATATATTTTTCTATGTCCTCTTTGAAAACATTTGTATAGTTAAGATATAAAACTTTTGACATAAGTGTTTCAATGTCATGAACTCTTATAGCACCACTATATAATAGTCTAGCAGATATACTATCCCAGTCTATATATTCTGCTTTTTTCAAAACCTCTCTCACAATATTTTTGTTATCTAATGGTATACGTTCCATCTTACCTATAGGTATCTTTTCTTTTAACTCTTTCAATATATTGTTTGTGTCTGGTATATGTTTGAGACGGTCCATATAGTTGTCGAAGTCATTGCATATAATCTTTGAGTCTGGGAATATTGTATGGCACAAATGGGATATATAGAAACTTCCACCGAACAAATCTACAAATGTTAGACCATTCGGTAGTTTCTTAAGTTCTCTCAATATAATATCTTTACATCTACTCTTATTTCCAAAGAAGGGTAACGGTGGTTTTGTAAAATTCATTTATATATAATAATAAAAATGTTTTTTCCTGAAAAGTGACAGAAAAGTGACAAAACATGAAAACATATATAATTTGTGAAAAGCGACACATTATATAATGTTTTCGACCCAGAAGAAGGCTTCTCAAAGTATACTTCCTTGGAACGCCTGTAACTTTTCCTGTAGCGACGATAGACCCTTACTTGTCCGGACAAAGTTATACTAAACATCTTCAGGGCTAGAAGGGGCGCAGCCCCTGGAAGCCCCTCATACCTGACCTTGTGTTTGAGCATAACTATACAAAGTCAAACTGTTTCAAAGATGAGATCGAAGCAAAAAATACGAGTGGAAATGGGAAATTTTCAATTCTTTATGATTTAGATAGTTCGAAGTATGTTATGAACGATGAATTTCGACATTTTATTATTGATTATCCATCTCTCAATCTCTTAAATTCATGGAAACAAAAGAAATCTCCTCTCCAAGATATCGAACAAAAAGGCGTTAAAACAGCTGAAGGATTTGAAGCTGGTATTACAGAAGCACCTTCAAGAGATTGGGGTGGCCTTGTTAAAACAATACTATGTCCTGATTCTTTTCTGGATGGAATACCAGGCTTTGAACATTGGTTCTATAGCATAGGAATAATGTGTAAAGCGTCACAACATTATCTTGATGGTGGTTTACCAGCATACTTTGGTAAAACTAACTCTGAAGAAGTTTTAACATCGAAAGTTCGATTATGGAGTGCAATCAAAGATTACAACATTTATCTCAAATGTTCTTGCCAACAAAATTTATATATCACAGTCCTCTGTACATTATTTTCTCTCTTGATATTTCTATAATTACCTTAAAATTTTTCAATGAAAAATAATCGTTTTTTATTAATGAGATTTCATAGAAAACTAATGCTAATATTATTGAAACCAATATATAGATTATAAAAATGGAAACCAATAATCTTATTACGTCTTTGAGATATGATTGAATTGTTTGTACTTCATTTGAGAAACATTAATAATAATGATTTTACGAGGTCATTATGTAAATAGTATATTATATGCACAGTTCGATTTTAGATTGTATCAGCTTGTGTTTGAGCATAACTATACAAAGTCAAACTGTTTCAAAGATGAGATCGAAACAAAAAATACGAGTGGAAATGGGAAATTTTCAATTCTTTATGATTTAGATAGTTCGAAGTATGTTATGAACGATGAATTTCGACATTTTATTATTGATTATCCATCTCTCAATCTCTTAAATTCATGGAAACAAAAGAAATCTCCTCTCCAAGATATCGAACAAAAAGGCGTTAAAACAGCTGAAGGATTTGAAGCTGATGTCAATTATACCGAAATCCCTTCAGATACTTGGGGAGGTCTTGTTAAATCCAAATTTTGCAATGATTCTTTTCTTGATGGCATCCCTGGTGAAGGTTATTGGTTTTATAGTGTAGGGATGCTGTGCACTGCTCAAGATCACTTTCTAAAAGCAGGTATACCTGTATATTTTGATACGTCCGAACATACCACGGATAAAGTGAGACTTTGGGGTGCAATTAAAGATTATTCGATTGTTGAAAAATGTTCGTGTGCGCATCGTTTATATTTTTCGATGCTGTATGTGTCATCAATACATGTTATGATAAACCTGAAAAAATAAATTAATTATTAATAGCATAGTAATTAATGAGTTAATAATAAAAGAATATTATTTTTGATTTCCGAAATTTTCCACTATTTTTTTTTTCATTCAATCGATTGGTAAGTTTTCATTATGGGGATTTTACGCTTAGCTTAGGCCCCAGAACTTAACAATGTCATCATATGTTTTTGGCATCAGAACAAATATATTTCAAGCTTATTTGCCATATTTACAATAGTGATATTATCCACCAATTTTTTCAATGGAAAATAATCGTTCTTTATTTTTTGAAACAAGACATTCCTATTTTTATTGCAATTAATACAAATCTCTTGAATATGAAAGATATGACCATTAGTGAATCTTTGAAATTTGATTAAATTGTTTGAAATCGATTTCATAATTATTTCCAATAATGATTTTACGAGGCTACTATTTAAATAGTGTGTTATATGCACAGTACGATTTTAGGTTGTATCGGCTTGTTTTTGAGCATAACTATACGAAATCAAATTGTTTCAAAGATGAGATCGAAGCCAGAAGAACGAACGACAATGGAAAATTTTCAATTCTTTATGACCTTGACAACCCCAAATATGTTATGAAAGACGGATTCCGACATTTTATTATTGATTATCCATCACTTAATCTTCTAAATACATGGAAACAGAAGAAATCTCCACTTCAAGATATTGAAAAGAAAGATGTTTTTACAGCTACAGGATTTGAAGCTGGTATTACAGAAGCACCTTCAAAAGAATGGGGTGGTCTTGTTAAAACTGCTTCAAATCCTGATACATTTCTTGATGGTTTAAATCGTTGGTTCTATAGTGTAGGGATGTATTGTAATGCTTTAGATTGGTTCAAAAATAAAGGTCTTCCAGCATATTATGATACATCTGAACATACTACAGATAAAATGAGACTTTGGTGTGCAATTAAAGACTATTCAATCGGGGAAAGATATTCATGTGTGCATCGTTTATATTATTCGATGCTATTTATAGCAGCAATAAATATAGTGATAACTGTGACTGAGTAAATGAGTAATACTTTGAAATTTCAATGAATTATTTTACTTTTTTTATCTTGAACTCTATGACTCTATCTCTTAATTTTTTGACAAAAGGAATATAAAACTTAAATTTTTTGCAGATCTACAAGATACCTATGACGTGGTAAAGCATGTGGATATAAAATATAAAACAAAAAAGAAAAATTCTGTTTATTTATGGGGAAAAAACTTCATATGTGAGATTGTCAAAAAATGCGATTGACAGAAAATTGTAAGTGAATAAAAGATGTATTTTTAGCTGGTTCTTACTTGCAAGAAAAAAAATTAATTTGTGGAAAATCATCTTTAATATTTATTACATAGTAATAAAAACAAAAAGAGACATTCTAAATAAAGATAAAAATACTATAGGTGCAATAACATGACATGAATTTGGCATTTCATCGATCTGGGTTATTATGAGTTTTCCATTACCATCCCAAACACCTGCGGCATGAACAGCATGATCAAAATAGTAATCACTTGATTCATTAAATGCGTAATATTGGGAATCAATATATTCATAAAATTCATCTCTGGCTTCTATCAAACCAGGTGGGATTACTGCATCTTTTGTCAAAATCCAAGAGCTTCCACCCCCAGATCCTGCATATCCAGAATGCCCTGCAAATCCTCCAAACCAGCCTCCTCCTGACCCAGGTCTATCGCCAGACCCTATTGATTTCGTGACTCCGTTTTCGTTTTTCGATCCATTCTCTTGGGCAGCTTCTCCAGAACCGAAGGTAAAACCTGACAATGAATTTGCCACTTTTTGATCAGTATAAGTTCCTGCATTCCAATAACCTTGAGCAACAAGATTACTTCCTGCGCCTCCTGATCCGTTGTCTGAGTTTTCTGGACCATTATCAGAGCCCCCTCCGCCTCCACTTACTATTACTCGATGCCATAAATCATTAATGAGAAATTTGACACTTGTTTGGCCGCCTCCCGAACCTGAGCCTGAGTATTTTAGATTGGATGAATCAAAAAGGTTTGAAGCGCTTCCGCCACCACCATATCCTCCAGGGATCATATTCTCTGGAAGATAGTTAAGAGATCCTTTTGAAATATTTTTGTATCCATATATTCCTTGGCCACCGATTGTGGCATATATTTAGTTAGTAAACATATAATGGGTACGGAGGCACTGCGCGCCTCCTTACCCATTATATGTGAATTTGACACTTTACGAAACCGCTAACGTATATTTTACAACACAAACGCAAAAACTAACTTAACCTTAAATATTTACAAAGCCGCAAACCACTTCACTAACGAACTCACTAATGTAAAAAATAAACGTTCTCACTATCGCTCTCACTAACGACTTCACTAATGTTCTCATAAATTTTCCTCAATATCTTCATCATCAGTGTTAACCCTATTGTAGTCATACTTGAAGCCATAAACTTTCTCTAACTTCTTAACGTACAATTTACATAACTTACCTTCGTCATCGTATGGTTTAATGATATAACTATTTCTATCTTTATACACAGTCAATGAAAAGTCAACTGGTCTCGGATGTATTTGAAAGAACATGTTATACTCAGGAAGGAAGAATAAATGTTTAAATGTATGTTTGTTATACTGTGGAATTCGAATGAGTTGCTTTTGTTCTGTCATTTACATCCAAATAAAAAATTTTCAGTAAAATAAAAAATAAACTTAAAAATTAATGATATCACCACCCTCACACGTATGAAAACATAGCACAAAAATAAATTTAGGTGAAGTGGTGAGATCTCACCTCTTTTTTCACCCTGTTGAATTCATTGCTTTATAACTCTCTTCCTTTCTCCAACTCTTCTAACTTCTTCCTAAGTTTAGCAATGTTGTCCTCATGAAGTTTAATCTTTCTCAAAATTCCTTCTTTATCTAATGGTTGCTTTATCTTTCTAAACTGAACTCTACCATCCTTCATAGTATGAATGTAAAAACCTTCTGGAATAGTTCCTGATTTAATGTATTCTACCAAAAACTTTTGTTTCATTGCTTCAGTGACTTTATTTGTCATTTCAATCAAATAAAAATTTTAATATTAAATAAAAATAACGTTATTTTTTCAGTAAGGAAACGCAGGAGTTTTACGATTTATTTGAGGAGTAGGTTCTGGTTTAAATGTTGGAGTCGGTTTAGGAGTTGACTTTTGAACAGGAGTTTGTACTTCCATAGGTTCAGGAGTCATTGAAGGTTTTGCTTGTGAAGGCGAAGGTGTTGGAGTTTGTTTAACTTCAGCTACTTCAGTATTATTTACAACATTTGCTTTATTTCTTTTCAACATCATAACTGCTCCTGCTGTAGCTAGCAAACCTAGTGGGAGACCATATTTTATATAAGGACTTGACCAAATGCTATTTTTGACAGGAGCTGGTGGAACACCTAACCTTGGTGAGACTGCTCTTTGCCATTGTGCAGCTCGTAAGAAATATTCAATAGGTGCTCCATAATCGTTTGGTAAAGTTTGTTTCATAGATGGTGAAGGTTCACGAGAGCTTGATGAAGAACTCATTTATAAGCTTTAAAAATAAACGTTCATCCTTTATTCCTCACTGTCGTCCGTAGCTAAGTTATAGTCATCTAATCTTATTATTGGGATTCCATTAGCACGCACCTGAATGGCAAAGCAACAATCCCTCATAAATCCAATAAGTGGCTTTGGTACGTTTTCAGTTGCTAGTTCAATAGGTCCTTTAACAGACAATTTGTATGTTATTGGAGCAGTAGATGTTTGACCTTGCTGGAAGCAAAAGTCCACTTCTGTTGGAAAACCACATAAGAAATGTGTGTTGTCATAGCTATCCCATTTATGTTCCACACTACCATCATCCACCAATGACCTCATAACATCTTCATTAAATCCAATCATATCATTGTTTGTATTGCAAGCGTTCGCAACCATTTCATAAAATACAGGTCCATATGATTTTTCGGGTTCTGCAGGCATATTTCCATAAGCTCCCATGGAAAGCTGAAGATATTTAAACTTAGGGTTCTCAAAATTAACATAATAGTTGTCTTTCTTTCTAAATAGTGCCCAAATACTTTTAACATTAATAGGCGTATAAGCTGCTGTAAATGTTGCACTTGAACTATCTGTATTCTTTGAGAATGAACCGTCCATAGGAATCCAATCCATAACTTTAACAGGAAAACATAAAGCCTCGTTTGCATAATGTTCTACAAGTTCTGTATAAATGTTAGGGTCTAAAGAGAATGACTTTGGATGAATGAAACATTCATTAAAATCCATCTTTGTTCGAAATAGTTGCTGGGTTACAGTTGTAATAGTAACTGTTCCACTAGCTTCTACTGCCTTCGTTATCATAGTGAATGGTTCATTCCATGGAACAAATTTATTTGTCGGTGGATTTGAATCTGAAGCAAATGCAACTTTAAGAGTTGGATTGAAAGCAATGATATCATTTACAGATATAGATGTGCATTGTAAGGCGTCGCTACTGAACTTTACTTTAAGCTGAATGTTTCCTGCAAAAGCTGGAATAAATCGAATAGCTTCTAATGGAAGGAATCTTCTAACAGGAATTCTTAAACGAAGCTTAAAATCAAATGATTTTCCTGCTGTAATTGGACCACTAACAATTTGTCCTGTTCTGCATGTTCCCGAATGACTCCATACATCTTCATGTCGAGTCTTTGAGAAAACATCTACTTTCTTTATTTGTTCGGTAGTTTGTGAGTTTGAAGTTATATATGCTTCTTCTCTTGCGTTGTCTTGAGAATATACGATACGACCATTTGCAAGGATTTGATATCCAGCAACTGCATAGAAAGCGTCATCGAAACCAATCCAAAATCCTGGTGGGTTTGTTTTATTGGAACCTGAACCAATTTCTTTATCTACAATAAATTGACCTTCCATTTATACGTAATGAATGTATTGTAAAGGTCCAACATATTTTCACCAGAAGGTGAGAGATTGAATGTTACCCATGTGTTATCTTTAGCAGTTCCAGGTTGTGATGGAATCTTTGCGTCAGAATATTTTCTATTAGTGTCACCAATTTGAACTGCATTGTCTATGATATCGAAATATGAGCGAATCTGATGAATATGCTCTGCTGGAGTAAATTCGTTTAACTGTTCGTTCTGCATGTATTTACTTCAGATAAAAATATCTATTTACTTCATTATTCTCACTCTTCTTCTTGGCATTCGTGGTGGAAGTTGTTTCTTGACATTTTCAATGAACTGTACATTCTCTTTTGTCTCAACTTCTTTCACTGGTGGGTCAGGGTTCTTTGACTCGGTTTGTTTTTCAATGAAATTCACGAACTTTGCAATAAGCTCTTGGTTCGTTATTGAAAGTACATCTGGCTTCTTTTCTTCTTGTTCTATTGACTTTTCAGTTTGAACAGAAGGTTTTATATGGGCTTCGTGGACTTCACCCTTGCCATACACCTTAATGTTGTCGCTTTCTGCATTCGCTAATGGAACCTTTCTTTTTCTTACGTATATTTTACCATCTTTACTCTGACTTACGTAATAGAAAGGATGTTGTATTCCTCTTGCGTCATTTAATATAATAGACTCTCGCTCTGATTTTGACAAGCTCATTTTACATCGGTTAAAGTTTTAATTTTGTTTTTTATCTGCAGTCAAATGACTCAGACAAGCCCTACGGACAAGATCCAAGGGGTCATAGATGTTGAAGCATTGAAGAAAGAAATTCGTGAGCAAATTTTATCCGAACTGAAGGAACAAAAACAAGAACAAAAGCCAGAGAGACCAAAGAGAAAACTTAGTGAAAAACAACTTGCTGCATTAGCTGCTGGAAGACAAAAGAACCCACGTTTGCTGGCGAAGAAAGCTAGAGAAGAAGCTGAAGCAAAAGCTAAAGAAGCTGAAGCAAAGAAAGAGTAAATGGTTTATTTTTATCCGAATTAAATGTATAGACAAATACCTTTATCTGTTGCGTTCAGTAGTGAAAACCCTGACGTCAAAATAAAGGGGAACAGAGTAACGTTTAAGTTTCCAACAGACTGGATTGTGAACATAAATGAAGAGAAGTACATTGGCATAACATCTATGTATATAACACGTGCTTTCAGAAAGGTTGACTTTATACTTCAAGTCGAGATAGAAAATGACGAACAGTCTTTAAGCGCCCAAAACATTCACATATACAAATACTTTAAAGACGATACAACATTGTTGCAATGTATGATTTCATTTAATGAAATGTTCGAGAAAAAGTTTAACATTGAAGTACAAACTTTACAGCCTTTACGTGAGTTTCTTGCACAACTGAAAGAAGAAGGTAGTCAGCCACAACTTATAGACTTTCATTATGAATTTAATGAAAATGAAGATGGAACTCATGACTGTCAGTTTGTTGTATTCTCACCATTCAATGAAGTCGCTAAAGAGAAAGAAAATCCATTACGTATAAGATTTCAAATCTCTGAACCAAGTGATGATTTCAAGAATGTTTTCAATTATGATGCAATGCTTCCGAGGAAAATGAATTTTCAAAGATTGTAACACCTGGCATTTGGGATAGAAAGCAAGCTATATTATATTCAAACTTAAGTAAGGGAGTTGAAAATGAGTTCATTGGTCATACAAGAACTTCACCACTTCCTAACCCTAAATACTATAAATTAACTGGCTTCAATCGTGAGTTTTGGATAGACATGTTCTCCACTCATGACCATAACTGCCCAGTGTTCTTACCTCCAGACCATAAGGACTGTCTCTATATTGAAGCACAACTCTTAAACTCTACCATCGCAGTATTGTAAATGACCACATGGGCTTCGCCCTTGCCGCTAGCGGCTTATTTTTATCACGAAATGACCTCATTGCTGACAAAAATAAATGACCTCAGAACTTCAACTTACGAATAAAGCTTGTTTTAGTCGTTATTGAGAAGTTAAACTTTTCAGCAAAGCAAGGTTGACATGACTTACATAAGTCAAATCCAATCTCTTGACCATCGTGAAGTGCTTTGTAAAGTTTCATTAAACTGAACTCAGAGTCTTTGTCATATGTTCCTTGCGGAACCATTAAACCTTTATCTTCATCATAGAAACACTGAACAGAGTCAGGAAACATTTCATTAGCGGTTAAAGCAATAACATCTTGCTTCACGCCTTTCATTCTGCAGTGAAATGCAACTTCATTTAAATCATTCGTGAGTAAGTCTATGTAAGTCTTCTTTCCACAAAATATTGACTTGTATGCTAAACTTTGTTTATCTTTTGTGATTTCTGCAAAGTCGCTATGAAATTGACCAAGGTTTTTACCAATGAGAACTCTTCCATAACGTTTCTCAAACTCTTCAGCTAAACGAGGGATATCTTCATTGTAGAGATGCATACTGTCCGTATCGCTATAAAAGATGTCCATTCCTAAGTCCTCAGCAGTACAGAATACTTCACACATTATTCTCTTCGACATAGACAGAATGTTAACACCAAGTGGACAGAAGTTAAAGTGTCTGCAAATGCTTTTCGTTAGCTTGAAAATAGTTTTATCTGAACATCCAAACCTTCGAACTTCACTATATGGTTGTAGTTTCTGATGGCATATCTTATAGCATCTTTGTCATTTACTATGGTTATTTTTGACTCAATAGGAGATAGAATAGTTTTGCCATAAATACTGTTCAGAATGAGCTTTATATTTTCTTGCAAAGGATTTCCTTCTTTCTTATACTTTAACCTTAACTCAAACAACTTCTTTACTTCATCTCTTATTCTAATATCTCTGTTTCCATCGTAATAGTATCCTTGCAACACTTCACATTTGACGCCTTGATATTTTATGAGGTCTTGTAATGTTATATGGTCAACATACATGAGACAGCAAGTGTTTGAACTTCTGGGAACGTTAAGTTCTGGATTTAGTTCAGGGTCACAAACTATTAATGGAAAGTGTCTATGTATTCCAATCTCTGTTATCTTAATGAGAACAAAGAAGCCAGACATAAACTTTTCACCAATGGGTTCCTTTTGGTCGTCATCGAATAAATGTCTCATGAGATACTCTGTGCTTAACATTTCTTCCTTCAATACTTTCGGTATACCTTCTAAAGTATAAAGTCTTGCTATAGCTGATGGATATAATGAAACAGCATCGAAGTCAGCAATGAGTTTCTCTTTACTCTTTTGTTTCATGTTATCTGACAACATACATCTTCCACCTTGAATACAGCGTGAAATAAATTCTCTTGGTTTATTTGAGAGGTCATATAAATTTCCATTCGGGAAGTACACTCTGTTCTCAAATAATTTGTTAGCAATTGAACAAATACTAACGTAGTCATAAACGTTTAAATCAAATTCTTTCAATATGTCATTGCGGAACTTAACAAAACCTTCTCTTAAAATTCTTACATCTTGTTTGCAATAAAATGTGCTATACTTTTCTAAGTCGAAGTGGTTCTCATCTATTCTGCAACCTTTGATGGAATCTATGTTTTTCATGAATGTATCTGCATCCCGGATAAACTTACATGCTTCAGAAATGACACCAGTTCTGTTGTCATTTGCTAACAAAGTACTGCTGTAGTAGTTGTATGGAAATACTTCTTTCGGTCCTGTTTGTAAGTTAAACATAGCAGGAAATAGTTTAAGCTTCTTATTTATAACACTGTAAGAGTCTTTTATAATAATTGCCCTTCCTTTATATAAGCCAGTTATTTGCATTGTTCGTGAACCTTTAATGATGGGAGTTCCTTTCACTTCTGTCATGTGTCTTAAGATGAAGTTTATATCATAACTGAGGTTATGGAAATATATTAAACTCTTGTCAGGAAGTCGTTCCAAAAATTCTGTTGCACAGTTCTGACCCAAATGCTTTCACTCACTGAACCATCTTCACTGTCATAACAGATGTTAAAAGCTTTATGAAAGCCATCGGTATTGCATTCAAAGTCAGCAAAGAAAACGTGCTCAGGAATGAACTTACATTTAGCTTTATTTACTTCTTTTGACTCGGCTTTCTTCTTCAGTTGTACACAATACTTTGGAGCATATGACAAGTCTTTAAATGGTGCAAGGTTCTGTTTATATAAGTCAGTCGTATATGTGAAAAGTTCTCCATAAGAAATAGGTTCGAAATATTTGCACTCCCACAATGTTTTCATAACATCCCATAACGGTGTTGTTCTATCATAACGAACTACATATTTATCTTCTCTCTTTGTATAAATCTTCATCTGTTTCTCAATGTTCATTCCACCACACTCCTTCAAGATTTCTATATAGTTGCGAATGAAATATGTTGTCATTGGTAATCTTTCATTTAGCATGTAGTGGTCTTCAACAAGAAGTAAGTCAATAGTTCTAACAGTTTCACATTCTTTTGGTATGTATCTCTTTATTTCATTATGTCTTGAGTCATTGAAATAACCAATGGTAACATTAAATGCTATACCTGTTGCGTCAGAAATTTCTTGTACTTTACTTTGAGGAAAGTCTCTAACACGAATGACTTCTCTCATGTGGTCAATAGTCTCTCCATCTACTCCAGCCTGAATGCAAGCATAAACGAAACAATTGTCTTCTGTCATAAGTGTTGCAGTTCTTTTGTTCAATTCATTGAAGATTTGGTAGCGTTCAAGATTTATAGGTAATGTGCAAAGATACTTCCAGAACTGACCGCTTCTCTTCTTATAAAACTTCTTTTCACCATTATCTTTCCAAAAGCTTTCTATAAGTGCTGGGTTTCCTGTTTGCTTAAGAGCTTCCAAAATGGCTTTCTGGTCATTTGTCAGTGTGCTTTCATCTCTATATGGTCTCTTTTTTGGTTTGCCTTTCTTTACATCTAACATCGTTAAGCCTTCATATTCTGTTAAATCATACATCTTTATTTCGGTAAGATTCTTTATGTTTGTCAAGAAGAAGTCATAGTGCATTTCAACAATACCTGCAGCATTTGCTTCTATCTCTGATATAAAGTTCTCCTTCAAGAGCTGATGTAGTAATTTCCAATATTATTGAGGTTTAACGTAGAACATTCATACTTTCCACCAAGTTTTAAACATACCATCCATCTTGTTGGGAGTTTATTTAATCTTCTCTAAGAGTCTCATGAAAACCTTACCGAAATGTTTGTGTAAGTAGTCTCTGTTTGGTTCATCTAAAGCTTCGATGTTAAAGTCAATGAGTCTATTGCCTGACTTCACATTTCTCTTCCTATTCTCTTCATCTTTCTTTAACCATCTCTCACCTTCTTTTGGTTTGTCGTCAATGGAACGAATGACATCGTTAGCTTTGCGAACTTGTTCTATAGCACTTTTAAACATCTCTCTTCTCTGTTGTTTCAGTGTGTCGTCTCTTCTTCTTGTTTCACCAACGTTTGCATTTGTTATGTCAAACATTTCTCTTCTTACTTCATGAGGTACTGAACGTCTATGATATAAGTCAATAGCAACGTCATTTAAAGGAAATGCTCTTGCATGGACTTCGTCCTCGCCGCGTTGCGGCTTTATGAACTCATGAATTCTATCATAACTTATTGCACCATTATAGTCATTGAGGATGTCAGCGAGTGCTTTTTTGTTTGTTGCGTAATGTTTTGCTACTTCTATGTTAGCTTCTGTAAGAAGTTGTTTTATTTCCGAGTGTTCTAACTTAGACAACTTCCGATACATCTTTAGTAGGAAATAAAAAAATATTTTTTGAAAAAATTAGATTAGATTTTTAAAGTTATTTTTCAAAATAATTTAATATTTTTATTTTAATGAAACACATGCAAGATTGCAAGTTCTTTTCATACAATGCTCTCGCTACTGCCATCAAGAATGAGTTCAATAATGCTTCAAATGTTAATGTTATCTTTAACAAGAAGTTTGTGAAAGAATCTAAGTTTGGTCAGTATGTCAGACCATTAGCTATCGTCATTGACCGCAAACGTTATACTTCACAAGAGTTAGCAGTAGTTTTGAAACAAAAGAGTTTCTTCGTGAATGTCAAAGATACTCATTATACTGTCATAAAGAACTCTAACATTGACTTCTTCAGTATTGCTTTAAATCTTTCCGAACAGAAAGAATATAAGAAGGGTGAAACAAATGTGAAATATTATCCTTCATCTCTGAAGACAATAACGAACAAAGATGTTATACAGAAATTCTTACCAAAGGTTGAAGAAGCTTCTATTGACATTGACGAAGGAAGTGAAATGGTTGAAGAAATAGACCCTGAAGCTATTTAAGCAAAAATATATTTTTGAATAACTGATGGTGTCACTACGTCACCATGTCACCAGGTTAATTAACTTCTTTTAAAAATGATGACAACATGACATTTTGACAACACAGCAGGATTAATGCAAAAATGAATGTTATTGTTTATGTTATCGTTAATATTATCGTTAATGTTATCGTTAATGTTATCAGTGTCGAACATAATTGACATGGAGCATTTATGTTATCGTTAATGTTATCGTTAATGTTATCGTTAATGTTATCAGTGTCGAACATAATTGACATGGAGCATTTATGTTATCGTTAATGTTATCGTTAATGTTATCGTTAATGTTATCAGTGTCGAACATAATTGACATGGAGCATTTATGTTATCGTTAATGTTATCGTTATGTTATCGTTAATGTTATCAGTGTCGAACATAATTGACGTAGGATTCATGACTTCTTCGTAAATGAGTGTAAATATATCACAAAAATATATTTTAGGTGAAGAGGTGAGATCTCACCCGTTTTTTCACCTCTTTTTTCACCTCATTCTCTCTTCGTTAATGTTGTCGTGACTTCATTCTTCCTCTTTGAAGTTATCGAAATATTCTGTTATTTTTTCCTTCAGTAATGGTAAGTCTTCTTTGAATGTAAGTATTGTGCAACCTTTGATGTCATAGTGTGTTTGAGGAAGAGTAGTTTTGACAATTTCCTTTATTTGCTCATTCGGTGTCATTGAAATCGGTAAGTTTTCACGATAGAACCAGTTTCTGTCAGATTTATATATTTTAGCGAGGTCATAAAAGCTCTTGTTGTTTCTTCTGACTAAATGCAACATAACCATATCTTTATCTTCTTCTTTCTCCAACTCTTCAGTATAAATCATATACCTATAACTCTTTTCCTTTCCTTTTGGTACTGAACGCGGTATTCTTTTCTGTATGCTTTTGTCTTTTGCTTCAATGACTTCATCTTTTGCTTTATATAGTTCATCTAACATCATGAAAATATAACAAGCATAACGAGGTGAAGCCCACATTGCTACAGCGTTTACTAAAAGTCTATGAACATAATAACCTTTCAAACAAGGAGCCAAATTCTTGCGATTTTCATACGGAATCTCTTCATTCTGCAAAGCAATTATATGAGGAAATTCTTCTAAAAGTTCTTTTGTCTGTTGGTTTTCAAACCAATGATATGCTTGCTTTGTAGAACGAAGAGCATTCATTATACTTTGCATTTGGTACATATCGTCTTTGACTGAACGAATGAGACGTAACTGTTTGTTATACTGTATGTACTCGTATTCTTCATTTATGGCTTCATGAACGATAGCAGTTGTTGTGTTCTCTGATGTTGACATTATTGTCTTTACATACAAGATAAAAATTTTTGTTAGGAAAAAATTAGCGTTATTTTCTGACTTTCACAAAAGACAAAAATAAACGCTTTACATGTATTTTTCAGCAACTTCGTCAAATAATTTTATAGCTTTATCTATCTCATCTACTTCAAACGTTTCTTTACCTTTTATGGGAGCACCATACATTTTCTCAAACTTTTCGAGTAGTTCTGTTTCTGCGGCTCTCATATCATTAACGAACACAACCTTGACTCTATTGACTGTACTGTCATATCTTTGAGTTATATTATATGTTCTTCCTATCTTATATCTCTTTGTATTGAAGTCCTTCGGTTTCTGAACGATGTAAAGTAAGCCTTCACTGCAACGTTCTGAGTCGAATGAACCATAAGTTATGAAGTTATATCCAACAACAGGGTCAATCCACAGAAGAATTATTGGTATAAGACTTTTGTCAATGAGATATGCTGTAGTTCCATAGAATCTTACCGATATCATGAGCTCAGGATTTCTTGTCAAAATTTTCTGAGTAGAAGCAATTCTAACCCAGTCCTTTGTTTTCTTTCCAGAAGGTGTTATAATGTCTGACAAAGAATATTTGTTGTATTTCTTACAGTATCTTACGTTTAAATCACCAATTCTAACCACTTTGGTGTCATTGTCAATCTTTCTTACTGTTTCAAACTCAATGTTTGACATTACTGTCTTTACATACAAGATAAAAAAATAAATAAAAATAAAACTAACTTTATTTTTATCTTTTATGAAAATTCATGAAATTTGGTCATTTTTCAGCAAAAATAATGTTTAGGTGAAGAGGTGAGATCTCACCCATTTTTTCACCTGTTTTCTCACCTGTTTTTTCACAAGCGTTTTACATGAATTGTACGATGTATATTTGAAATCCTAAACAATTTCGTAGCTTCTATTTCTTCTTTTAGTACATCGAATGTTTTAACGATACCGAAAGTTTCTTTATACTTCTTCTTGACGTCAGACAGAAGGAAATCTTCTGCTGTTGAATAGTTTTTATTAAGAAATGTCAACATATCCATTTTATCTTCTGCTGGCTTTTCTGCTTCTTTCTTTAAGTCTGCATAGTCGTTTCGCATTCTTTCTATCTCTTTGACTGAGTAGTTATATTTTCTTATTGCTGCTTTACATTTTGAACATTGCGGCATCATTTTTGCGTTATACATTGAAATAAAACCAGCTAGAACAACTAAGGCGTCAATGGTTTTCTTTAACTCAAAAGCTGCTGGTTTTATCTGTTCATTCCATACCTTACCTCTTCTATCTTTATCTCTTATCTGCCATACACATTCTGCAATTAATGAAACAAAGTTGTCGTATGTCTTAAATTCTTCGGATTTGTAAAGGTCAGAAATATTTTTATAAACCATGTCGCAATCTTTGTCCATAACTTTATGGTTGCAATGATATCCTAGAAACTCATAGTTTACCTTTCGTATGAACTTCTTTATTTCTACTGAGTCAGTTGCTTTGACTTCAATTTCGTCAAATTCGGGAATGGTTAGTTTTTGTTGCTGAATTTCAGGTAGTTTAGGTAAATGGTCGATGAGGTCCTGCATGTCATAAAGATATTCTTCATTTTCTTCATCCTGTGCGGTACAGTCTAAATTACTTGTTAACAGTTCTTGCTTTATCTTCTGGATTTTTGTTTCGAAAGTATATGAAGAAGGAATGAAGTTTTTCATCTCTACTAACATTGACGTAGGATTCATGACTAGCGAGTTTGGTGCTGTAGTTGTGGCTTGAATTGCTGTTGTGCCGATTGTTGAAATCATATCTTTACATACAAAATAAAAAAATAAATAAAAATAAAACTAACTTTATTTTTTCTATCTTAAGGAAATTCATGAAAATTCATGAGGGTGAAAAAAGAGGTGAAAAAACGGGTGAGATCTCACCTCTTCACCTAAAATATATTTTTGGTGTAAATTTATGACAAAAATAAATGGTACCATTAATGATATCATGACTGTTCTCATTCATGTCTGATTTACATCTAATGAAAAAGTTTAGAAGAATTTTCTTATTCTTTCTGGCTTATTTTTGTCTTTCCAGTACTCCCGCTCTAATGGTCCCAGATGTGTTGTCTTTGACTCTCTCAAGTTCTTAGATGGTATAACATCTTCAACACCTCCTTCATATCTTACTTTATAAGTGTCATCGTTTATGTTGTAGCCAAGTATTTCAATAACCACTCCTCGCTTTGCTTCGTCAATGGTTTCAGCAAGTTTGCCATTACTACTTTCAACTAATTTGTGACGAGGGTAAAACGCAATAGAGTCGTCAGCAGCTTTTATAAGATATCCATTACCTTGCGTAGAGTCTACGATATAATAGTTTCGACTTAACCTTAAACGTTTCTTTGTCAACGGTTTGTCGTCAAGAACTACACGAACTTTTGTACCAGGAATGAGGGTAAATTGTGTTGAATTTCTGATATTTTGTTTGGCTTCGTTTCTTTTGTATATACTTTTCTTCTTGTTGTTGTGTCATTGAATTTGGTGTATGTCCTGTTGTAGAATGTGTTGAGGAATTATATACTTCGAGAAAATGTTTCATTGTTTCTTCGGTAAAGTCTCGCTCTTGGTTTAAATCTCTGAGCGTTCTTATGAAGCGGTTTATGATGCCGAGTATGTTATGGTTATGGTCTTCAGTAGTGTAGTGAGTTATGTTATGCTTAATGAGAAAATCTGTGATTTCATTGCTGATGGTATGCACTGTCTTGTCTGATGTTAAAGTACTTGGGCTATGTTCTGCTACAAACTTTTGTAAAACTCTTAACACTTCACGAGTTCCTTTATTTTTCATTATATACGCAAAAGCTTTACGAGTGTTAACATTAATGAAGATGAGGAATGGTTTATGTCCTCCTTTTCTGCTTTGAATGAGAGTGTCAAATTGGTATGCGTCAGGAGTGTTGGAGTAAATTGGTAAAAAGTAGTCGTAAGGGTTTATTTTTGTTTGATGTACAACATTTTTGTCAAAGAACCTTTTCACTTCAGCTCTGTTAGTAAATCCCCAACTCTTTGCAGCTTCATTGAACTTCTTAAATGACCTCCATGGATGTTGTTCGAATACTTCTTTCAAGCTCATTTATGTAAAGTTAAAGAATTTATTCTAGGCTCAAGCGTGTTCATTGAACTCTATACCATGCAAATACAGTCATAAATGGTGGCATATAATCTGCACCCGAGCCTGTTGGATTTGTTGTGAAAGTGTGTGAATGATTTCCTGTGGTTCCACAGAAAATACCTGTGCTTGAATCTACTGGGTCACTTGAAATATCATATCTATGCATTCCCTGTCTATCCGAACCTGCTGCAAGATTTGTATAACCTCTTTTTGTTATTGAATGTGAATGATTACCTGTTGTGTTTGTAGTTCCTGTATGAGTGTGCGCGGGTAAGTTTGCTTCAGTAATTTTCTTTGAACCTCCTGTTTGCTTTGAAGAGTTAGCACAGTATAAGAATTTATCTACAATCTGCTTCCACGTACCAAAACCTAAAACACTTGCTGGATTTGTTGAATTCATTGACGTATAAATAGAACCAACAGGATATAATGTTTGAAGTATTTCAGTCTTCATTGTTAGAAGTTCATGTTTAACATTTATAAATCTTTTGCCATCTACAATATTTATATTGTTTGTTATTAAACCATTAGGAAAAGTAGGAGGATAAATTCTTTGTTCATGTACAGTTGCACCGTTTCTTCCTGTTTTTGTTACTTCTTCAATGCATGCCTTAATTTCTTTAATCCTGATTGTTTGAAATTCTTCATGTGTATGGTTCTTGTCGGCTTTCTTATCTAACATTGCTGGTAGTTCATGTGTTTCAAAGTTTCTGGCATGATCTTCGATATTCCTGCAACTGTTATCTAAACTGTTAAGAGTATCTTTTACGCTTGTACTCGGATTCTCTAAAGGTGCACTTGAACCCAAATCATAGTTCAATATTATGTCGTCTGCTCTAACAGTAGTGAAGGATTTATGTGTATGTTCTTTATCTGCTTTCTTATCTAACATTGCTGGTAGTTCATGTGTTTCAAAGTTTCTGACATGACCTTCAATGTTCATACATTTACTATTTAAGGAGTTTAGTGTATCTTTTACGCTTGTACTTGGATTCTCTAAAGGTGCACTTGAACCAAGGGTATAGTTCAATATTATGTCGTCTGCTCTAACAGTAGTGAAGGATTTATGTGTATGGTTCTTGTCGGCTTTACTATTTAATGTAGCTTGAAGTTCATTTATATCGGAGATGTTGTGTTTATGAGATTTCAAAACTTTGTTCATTGCTTCAAGTTCAACTTTGTCAGCTTTACTTTTAATAGCATCTTCAAAAGTTATTTTTGACTTAACTCTCAAGTAAATCTTGGTTCAACTAATACACCGTTAACATTGAAAGTAGAGGCATAAATTTCACCGGTATAACAAATGCTTCTGGTGCTTTAGCTACATCATACTGTACAGTACAGCTTATGTCATAACCTTTAGCACGAATGTATTTATATCTTCTTTCATTAACATTTTTTGTCTTCGCTTCATCACTTCGTGTTAAATATCCATGGTAGTCCGTTATAATCTGTTCGTCTGAAGTTATATAATGAACGTCGTTCTTGACTTTATCACTCAGAGCTAAAAGCTCATTTTTGTCTGCTTTTTCGGCTAATTTCTCATTAACAGCATTCACTTCTAATTCAACTCTTCCGCCAGAACTCTTATTATCATTAATCTTTTTCATTAATTCGGTAATTACGTCATAAAGACTATATTCTGTTTTTGGTTTTGTAAATAATGAGTCAAAATTTCTTTTCATCATTACATCGCTGACATTAATGATATCACCAATTCCTTTTTCATTTATTCTCTTCATTAATTCTGCAATAATGACGAATATATAATCTGTTAATTTATTCTCTTCATCGAGGGTTATAGAATGTTTTGAAATTGAATCATTAACTCCTCT